AATAAGGGTGAGTTAAAGCCATTCCTGAAGCTAACCCGAAGCATTCCTGAAGCTCTAATGTCAGTATAGTTCCATCTGGCTCACTCTCTGTACTGGAACGATGCTCTAGTCTTAAAAGGGGCACTGAAAACCAAAACTGCGTTCAGTGATGCAAAACTAAGTATTTTGACAATTCACAGAAAGCACAAAAGAAAATTTAAGGAAAGCAAAGAAACAGCGCAATAGTCAAACGGAAAGGGAATATAATTTACATTTACTTGGTAATGGGGAAATAGTGCCAGGCTTTTCTTTTCAATAAGGTATATTTGGGTGGAGAACGACTTGTGGTATATTGTCAGGGCACTCAACCTAAAATTGAGTTCACATTCACATTTGAATTTGGCACTTTGAGCCATCATTTATTTTAGCAAGCCTGTTGCTCTACTAAATTATGTTTAAAGCGGACCTGTTATATTTTCTCAGATTCAACAAGAAAACATGTCTATATATTTTGATATAATTAACTCAAGTTTTGTCTTTAAAATGACACTATAACTTATAGTCTGATGTTCAAAGCGAGGAATGCAGTAAATAAGGATTTATTTCCTTTCATATTCTGAGAAGAAAATCGTTGGAGAAAGAAGCAAGAGGAAAACTGGTGCAGAATCTGGAAAATCCAAGTTCAATTCCTGCCTAAAGGATTTGAACCCATGTTTCTATCACTCAGGCAAGCTCCCTCTTCACTAGAGGAGAAAATACTTTTCATTGATATCAACCTTTATTTTGGAGCTCCTGTCATAGCAATTGAGAGAAAAACACAACAACCACCAAATGGTTAGGACATGCTTTGTAAAGTGCAAAGCCCACATTAAAATATACTCTTGTGCTGCAAAATAGGTTACAAACCAGAGCCCTCAGCTTCCTTCTTGAAAAGTGCCTGTCTTAGGTGTTTCCAGTCAATTATTTGTTTTCCCCAAAAGGGTACTCGTGAAATAATGTCAGACATACTGATTTCAGGAATACTCTTTGGAAATAAATAAAAAAATAAAATAAAATTAAAAAACCCAAACCAAACCAAACCAAAAAATCCAATGTAAATCTTTTAAGGAAAAAAAAAATAAATCTTTAAATCCAGTTCTTTCTCGTGGCTCCTCAATTTACAGACCACAGATCTGCTCCTGAAGGTATTGCAAGAAGCAGCAAAGCTGTCACTGAAATGGACTGAAAATTATTAGGACTTGTGTCTTAGGCTTATGAGGTAATTCACTACAGTTTCTCCTTAAATGTCCCAAAAACTAAATTACAGCTTTACCTTTCATAGTCTGACCTACATAATACTATTCTAATCAGTTTCTAATGCACTGGCTCAGTATCAGAAAGGGGCATGAAATCAACTGGATCTTGAAGAAAAATATAGACAGTGTCTACAAAGACTCAGGCTGGATATCTGAAATCTTTAAAAATAACTAGAAAAGCAACAAAAGGCTAAGAAGGGAAATACAGATTTAAAACAATGATGGACTTTGATTCCACTAAAAAGTTTTGTCTAACACATAAAAGGATGTCACTCGCAGTTAATGAAAACACAAGAGAGAGTCCTACTAAATAAGCACATACTCAAAAAAAGGTATCGCAAGAAGTTGTCAGCAATCATACTATAGAAACAAACTACAGAAAAATAGGGAGGCTTGATGCACCATATATGTTTATATGTCCCTTCTTTTTTATCACAAAGAAAAAACAATCTTGAGTTTCTTTTTAGGCAGCAGATTGAAATTTCTACTTCAAAACAAAAATAAAAAGAACCAGTACGGCAGCACTGTTCGATTTACATATGCTTTGAGTAGTCAGCTGCACATTGGTATTTGTGACACAAACGTCTGTAATTAATAAACTACTAAAGCTTATGATGTTTTAAAAGATGTCCTCGATTCTTTCTTAATTAATTGTATTTTCACACTATGTGACTACAACTCAAAAAGTCTCCTGCGCATACAGTCAAAGCTATTGTTATGGAAAGCAGGTATAAGTAATTTTAATTTGCGAGAAGCAAGAAGGAACTTTAGATGATTGGTTTTTTTTAAATTAGCTGTTGGAAACTATGTCACTGTAAAAGATGGATAAATTACTGCAAATATTTTCACCTAAATTCTTGCTTTTTCTTCAATTATTTCAAACAATGCATCTCATTGTTTTTCAATCACAGAATCAGAACTGAAGGAACAGCTTTCAGAATTGCTTTAAAACAGCCATTCCAAACACTGAAATTATACTTTGTCTTATTCAAAGAGATTAAAACCATCATAAACTAGGTACCAATCATGTAAAAATCATTTGTTTCGAAAGGAACTGGCCTCTTCCAAGATGGGAAGGAGATCTGAAGAGCTCCTCCTTTCCTCACTTTAATCCAAATCCAGAAAACATTCAAACCTGACTCCATGTCAGTTAACACTGGGAATAGGGAGGTCTGATTTTGTGGAGGTGAAGCATGGCTTTGGATCACGTTTTAGCTTCCCCATGTTCTGCAGTCATATGCACACCTCTGCGTTCTCCTCTTAGATCCCACCACGCTTTAGAGTGTGCAGACTGCCCTCTGAAGCACAGCTCCCGGCTTGTGCTTCACGCTCAAATTGTCCAGTAGACTTGCAAAACCCCATCATATATTTCTGACTGAAATGGCAGCTGAGGCCACTCTTTTCTGAGCTTAAACAAGGGCTAGGGGACTTTTTTCCCTACAAAAGATTAGAGTATTAAGGACAAAACCATCAGAGATAATCCAACATTTCATCGAAGATTCATCTTGTGAATACCTCCATTTGCTCCAGTGGATTTAAACCAAGAGTACACCTAATGTTTGGACTTTATTCCGAGCAAACACTCATATGGAGCAAGTTCTGAGACGAAACTATGGAAGCTACAGGTAGGTCTCTTTAAAAAACACTGTGGCTTTCACTCCACTATACTGAAGCACGTTTCCTATTCTCTAACAGAGGAATAATGCATACACATATGACAAAGCCAGGCAGGACTACTCAGGAAGGGGCAGGCTGGTTATCATTCTGTCCCCACCACACGTTCTCTGTTCCACCAGCAGTAAAAGCATGAATTTTTAAAAGGAGCTGTTCCAGTATATTTCATATTCTCATTCCAAAATTTTCCCTTTTTTTGAGTTCACTCATCATTTTAACTCTCCCAAGTCAAATGACAGAGTCCTTCTGAGACTATGAAAGCTAAAGCTTTTGTTTGCCTTGGTAGCATGCAAACTTTTTTTTTTTTTTTTTTAATAAATTAGTAGGGAATATCTTATTATTCAGTCAAGGAGAACTTAACTAAGATTGCCACCTTGTCCCCTTTTCCTCCAGTCTGATGAGATGGCACAGACTCAGGGGTTTCAGCTCATCACCTGGCAGCTCTGCCCATAGCTTCAAAAATCACAACGGTTCCTCCAAGGAAAATAAACACAAAAGGACCATTTAGAATTAACACCAGCTAAATCAGACAAATACCAAGTTCTTACGACTTTCAGGGCGGCTTTGAGTGAATGAAGAACAACGAGCTACAACAAACATTTACTAAATAGTTGTTCGTGATTAAAGTTGAAGCAGTAAATACATGGCCCACTGCAATTTGATGTTGAATATACTAGGAGGAGAAAAAAAAAAGTCCTGAAGATCTCTTTTAAAGTGTTATCACGTAGCACTGCCTAATACAGCAGATGGAAGAGGTTCTTACGTGGACAGTTATAGTGAATCTGGGGTACTCAGTGTGTCTGTTAACACATCTATTTCACGCTTTGTCAGTTTGGTTTCAATGGTTTCATTAATAACTTTCATATCTCGCTATTTCCCCCATCCCAAAACTGTTCCTTGAGTGAGAAACATCCTAGTGGGTTAGCAGGTAGTAGCTTTTGAATTGCAAGAATGCGAATCTGCTTATGGATTTGAGTCTTATGCTGGGTGGTTAGTTTCGAAGAAGGTAAAAAGTAATTATTATCATGTGTATAACTGGCTTCAGGAAGAGAAGTTACTATGTGTAAAATTCTCCCCCCACTGTAAGTCAGAAGACAAATTACCACAGATTTTGCTGCCCTAACAAATCACACCGCACTAGAGGACTAGTTTTGCTAAAGTTGATATTCATCTGGATGACAGTCTGTTTATGGCTCAAATTCAGGTACATACCTATGTATAACCCAAGTCCATCATGTTCCTGAAAAATCATAATCTAGGCTCACTAAAGGATGAGGTACAAAAAGTGTGCACAGTGAAACACAATCTTAGACTTCATTAGGATGAGCAGTGTTAAATACTGCTATTTGTTTCTTACTGTATACATTTCTTTAGTTCAGGATTGTGATTACTAATGCTATTTTAACAAGCACACTGATGCCAAAAACAAGCCAAAAGGAAAGAAATATGCAATGTGTACTTTAAAGAGATGCTTTTATAGCATATGACAGCATCTGTTATATGTTGCCAGAATTTTTTAAAAATAAATAATTGTAAACATTAAATGATCGAATAGTCAAATACGCTATGTACTCATAGCTTCTCTCCATGTCACAACAGAAAGTCAGATGATAAATGCAGTTAACATTTATGCCAACAATTTCCTTTCTGCCTTTTGTTAGTTTTTTTAAAGTAATCCGTATCCCTTCAGCTGCACAACCTTTCCAGGACAGACTAGAAAAATGATTACGTGTGGCTACACAGCACCTCAGGTTTTGTTTTCAGAAAACAAAAGCTTATCACAAATAAACTACAGATCTGTTACAGCCACAGTTAGGCCTTAGATTATAGTATATTGTTATTGTTATATTTTAAAACAAGATTAAGCTGAAATATTTGGCTCATAATTCATCTGTAGAAAAGCACTAAGTTTACATATTATATACTCAGCTGCTTTTAAGGATGAAGGCTGAAAGCATCAACATGATTCCTACTCATCACCTTGAGGAATACAGTATGAAAAATGTGGTAAGGGGTGTAGTAAGATAAAGCCATAGTATTTTCCAAACATACCTGCTAACTGGATGATGCCATGTCTCGCAACATCATAGTAGGGGTGATTGATATTTAGCTCGGGATCCTCAAGTGGTAGAGGCCTAAATGTTTCTTCCTGTTCTGCCTGTGTATCTTCCTCTTCATCTTTCTGCAGTTCTAAAGAAGCAAGCAAGAATGCTTAAGAGCTAATGAACGGAGAAAAGCTTTTGCCTCCAACACATTATTGAAGGGTTGAATTTTAGCTCAGTTTGACAAAAAACACAGGCCTTTATCACTATTTGTTGCGGTTTCAAATCAGTTTCTTTTTCTTTAACCCTTCTCATGTGTGTGAAAAGCAACCGTTCAATACCTCAAAGCTACCTTTGCATCCTCCTTAAAATCAATATTTACTGTGATGCTCATGAAAATCTCAACAATGACTGGACAGTTGGCATGCTGTGACCTTGCTATTCACAACCGCTGGTGTTGTCTCATCATTTTCTACACTCCCGCAATCTGCTTGTTGTATCCATCTACAGCTACTTGCCTTTCATTTCAAGGTTGCCCAAATGGAGAAGTCAAAGTTTCAGTACACTAACATGTGCATTGACAGCTACTCCACATTAACACCCCATGTGAATGCCTTCTGAGAGCAGACTCATTACTTTGCATAAAGGCAGCAAACCGCAAATAAATCTCCATCTCACCTCCCCCAAAACCCACCATTTCCTTGAAATCCTTTAACCTTCTGAACTTGCAATAGGCAAGGCAGACAAATGTCCATCCAACATAGACTCCAGTTAGAGGCAAAGCAAAGGTGTAAGTCTGCTCAAAAGCCTAGTAAAATCAATGGGGACCCTTCCGCCAACTTCAGTAGATTCTGGACTAGATCCTAGAAGTACAATCTCCTCTGCACTGATACGAGCAACACAATGTCAGTTGATCTCGGTCCAGGGTTTTTTGGTTTCGTTTTGGGTTTCCCCCCCCCAGTTTTTTCCAAACTGTTTTAAGGTTCAAAAAGAGATGATTCTAAGTATGTATCCAAACGAACACAGACTCTGGGATTGTCACTAATGCTTCTACGCTATTCAAGTGAATGCTTCCTAGAAACTGACAGGAATAACATTAAATTCACACACTAAAACACAAGTGTCTTGGTGGCTTAAGAGAAGAAAAGCACACATACAGAGAAAAATTAACGTTCTGATAAGGTGCACCACCTCCTGTACATCATTCACCTCTTTTTACCATGCAAGGTTTAATAAGGTAGAATTAACAGTTTTATCTATAACTTTATTAGTGCCACTTTAAAAAGTATTTCAAGAACATTTTTCCCTTTCATCATCTGCATACTTCGTATGCCTTGACCACCACGCAAGACACACTAGGGCAGAGAGAATATATTAAGTATTGATTTCAGCCAGATTTATGTGCCAGTAGCTAATAAGCGTTAGAGAAAAACTCTTACTAAATATTTCGGAATGCTTTCCACTCACAGTGTCTCACTATCTTTCTATCCTATAAACAGTCACACGAAAGCTTTCTTGTCTCATTTTTATTTTTAATGTGATTTGTACCAAAAATGCATTTCACAAGGATGAAAAATGCCACTAGTGGTTGAGCTTCTGAAAGACAAAGAGGAGTCAGGAACATGTGTGCTATTTTTACATTTCTTTATGTCTGAACTCACATTAAAGCCTTATCAGAAAATAAATCAGCAGTCCTATAAGCAAAAAAAAAAAAAAAAAATCTGCCTTCAGAAATACACCATTAGAATCCTTTTCAAACACACAAAAAAGTTTAAATTCTTATTATTATCTCCAAAATGTGTATTTTTCTACCCTTTAAAAGTGTACAATATATAAAAAGCTACACTAACTGCAAAAGTATTCTTTCACTTTAAAGAATGTTTCTGTCCCAAGAGCTGGGAATAATAATAGAAACATAATGCAGTATATGAATTTCACAATTTTTCCCTTTTTTAAATATTTAAGTCATATTAAAACTCAGAACAAAGAAAACACTATTTTGTTTATTGGTGGGTTTTTTCCCATGCCTGGTCACTGTAACCACCTAAAGTAACAAAAAGTTGTAAAGGGGTGAGAGAAGAAGATAGAAAATGCTACTCTGTGGGGATATGAAGCAGTGGCTGTGAATCATTTACCATAATCCACTGAAACTTAATGGGCTTTTATTAAAGTGAAATGTATATTTAAGTTAAACACAACAGAAACAACCAGTATGTTAACTACAGCCTTTGGTACAGAGAGGCAGAGGCTAACTCCTTCTGTAAAACATTATTTTGTACTGTGCATAAAGACAGACAGGTTTCCAAAAAGCAGGGGTAAGGATTTGTAACAAAGTACAGATATCAAGCTGCGGGCTTTGAGATGTGCCAAAGAACTAGAGATACACACGCCCATTTGTATTGCGCTTATTCACAGGGACTAAAGAAGTCCCAACAGTTACCACATCTACTGAAAAGCGAGTTAACCCTAACCTAGTAAGATACTACTTTGTATATTTTTTCTTTTCCTTTTTTTCATTTTTTAAATGTGTGAACAAGAGGAGTGGAGCTTAAGAGATGTTTTTATCTACTGAAAAGTGACTTAACCCTAACCTAGTAAGATACTTCTTTGTATATTTTTTCTTTTCCTTTTTTTTATTTTTTAAATGTGCGAACAAGAGGAGTGGAGCTTAAGAGATGTTTTGTAATAAGCACAAATAAAGAAGAAGATACATTGCTCCAAACTGAGGGAGACCTCAGCTCCATTTTTCTCCTGCAAATGATTGAGTTTACTGAACTGCTCCATGAGCTATAGCAGAGGATCCTCTGTTACTACTGACACTGCTATTGCTGTTTAACCCAGGCTGGGAGACAACATGAGGGCCCTGATCCAGAGCTTGCCAACACTGCAGGGAAAATTGCTTTCAACTGATTTTGAATCAGGCCCTAGGAGTAAAAAGCCATCCAGCTGCTACTGAAAGGCATGATGTGGGGAAATCAGAACTAAGGTGAGGGACAGGGAAAGGGTGGCTGAGGTGGGGGGAAAAAAGAAAAGATCTGGAAAACTCTTGCTTTGGGGTTCAGTCTGGCATCCTCAAAAACGCAAGGGAAAAAAAAATGTAATGCTGATCTTTCAAAATGATGAGGCCCCTAATGCCATGGCCATATTGCTCAGCTCAACTAACATCTTTGGAGATAACATGCAATACAGTAATCTCTATGCTCATTCAATACTTGTCTGTTTGGAGTAATGACTCCCATTTGTGCCACAGTATGTGATGATGGTGATATTCCAATAGCCTAGAATTGCACTAGGAACATCTACCAATAATTCATAAAAGCTGCATGTATTAAACTAACCTTCAACCCTAATGGCTTTAATAGGGTACACATCAGTACAGTGGCTGTAACTCATATTGGATTGCTCCAAGAAGTATTAACAAAGTGTTGGTGAAGCCTCTCACTACTGAATATGCTCTGTTAAATCACCTGTAACTCTACACAGATGCCATTTGAAGTATAATAAAATATACTTACCTATTTCAGCTAACTTCTCATAGTCAATCTCAGACATGTCTCCCCTTAGGAACAAGTCTATGCAGATCTTGCTAAGTGATTCTTGCAGGATGAAATGGTCCTTGAGCCAACCCTATAAAAACAAACAAAAGTATCTGTCACCAGAATGTGGCACGTTTTACTCACTACACATATAAAAAGAAAAGAAAAAACCACCCCAGAAATCCTACTGCCCAATTATTGTCGAGGAACCAACTCACTGGAATTTGGCCACAATTTTCTTACAACATAGAGTATTATAAAAGTATTTTAAACCAAGAAAAGCTATGTATAGTAACAAGACTTTCAATAAATTGGCCTGGTTTTATTTCAGGGGGGTTGTTCTTCTAAATACTTACACATTACACATTTCTAACGATAAACATCAGAATTGCAGATTAAATCACTCCTGGAAACAACTTAAACCTTTATTTTTTCCTTAAATTTTATTTCTCTGATGAAGAAGATAGACATACTCCATCCCCTCACACCAAAGTCTATATTCTATAGTAATTCTAAGTTTTATTACAGGAAACATTCCATACCTCACATTTCACACGAAATAGCTTCATGAAAATTTCAAGTGAGCATTAACATAAAAAAACTGAAAAAACAGCAGTTCCTGGGCATAATCACTGCTTTTTGTCAAATGGTCTGTGGAGCGCTTTGTAAACAGAATACTAAGTAACACACCCAAAGTGAGCATCAGGAGCAAAGGATATGATTCCGAAGATCTGTTTCCCCAAGCAGCTGATCCAAAGAGCAGAATGAGTACTTCCCTTAAACTAAAAATCCAGACTCAGGTGTGGAGGTAAGAAAGAAATTGAGCTTTTATAACTCTCCTTTTAATTTAATTCAAACCCACTATTTTATACCAGTTTGGTTTCATCTAAACAGATTTAAAAAAAAAAAAAAAAAAAGAAAACAGGGAAATTCATAGCTTGGTTGCTGAAAAAAGGCATACACAAGCATGTTCTCCTCTGTCAAGAAGTTAAATTTGGTATTGCTCCTTCTATTCACTGAAACTGGGAAATTATTTTGGACCAAAAAAGGAGCAGACAGTTTGCCTGCTTGCTGCTGTCCACCCTGCACATCCCAAACCTTAAGCAGGTCCATTCCAGACCCACATGTCTGAAAGCTAGATACCATCCTGGTTTTTTAACCAGAGAAGGGACACATAAGTAGTTTTCTAGAAATGAAATGCACATCAAAAAAGCAAGTAAACGTCTGTTTTCCAATTTTCCTGAGGAGGGATTAGTAATTAGAGCAACACAGGTACCACATGTGTGAAGTAGAGCTGGGCTCTATCCGGCTACACAAAGTCTATCCTTTGGGTTTTGCTTTATGCAGGCAAAACAAATTTGCATCCTAGTACATGACTACAACTCCCAAGCACTACAGTAAAACAAGTACCTGCTAACCATCGTTAGATTTAAAAGAGCTTCTGATGGCTAATGAAGATTTTCCATAATTTTTCAAAACATTTCACAGATCTGATACTAATGTAATATAATTATTACCAAAGGCACCCATGCATTTCCACAACTTGCTGTACTGCAGATAAAATATGAACATGGTTCTACCACTTTGAAGACTTTCAAACACTTACCAACTATTTTGTAACAATCTTACTAGTTTCATGTTGAAAATAATTATCTCCATTTACAGGAAACACTCAATTTAAAAGCGCATACACGGGGAAAAGTCCCATTAAGTCCAAAACAGAAAATTATGCAGTTTCTCATTGAGCAACATTTTTTTTTAAGAAATGAAAGCAATTCTGGGCCAGCTATATTTCAGTTCATGTTAATTTTATCACATGGTATTCAAAATGGTAGTTTTGAATGTTTTTTTAAAATTATGATGCAAAAAAAACCCCAAACTTAGTTATTGATATTCCAAGCAGTAATTAATTTATTATTATTATTATTGTGAGCAGTAGACACTTCTAAAATTAACAATTAGCAACTAGTATGATGCATGGGTTTTTTAGCAACTATCTTGTGGCAGGTATTGTAGGTGATTTAGTAATTTATGTAGTTTCCTCATTAGTACTTGGTATATTATCTCATCACGTGTACCTGTGATGGTAAGGAATAAATGGTACATAAGTATCTACTTCGACTAAACAAAATTTAAAAATGGTTTTGAAGCAAAGTGTAGTCGCAAAAAAAGGAAAGTTGACTTTTTCTATCTTATCTGAACAATTTCCTCCCAACTTTTTTTCCTAAAGAAAACGTTTACATGTAGGAATGTAATGATACTGAGAAGTTTTCAAGGGGCTCCAAATACAACCTACAGCTCACAACTATATTCACACTTCTTAGCCTACAACTCCAGTATTCCAAGCAGACCTTTCTGCTCTTTGCTGAAGCTGGAACTTTACCACAATAAGCTCTTTGTGACTTATTTTTCTGTTACATTTTTCAATTCAGTTTTCATAGACCTGCATTCAGCCCAACTTTGAGAACAAAGAAAGCCAATGTTCAATATATCTGATCTTCAGAGACTTCATCCCAACCAAGTATTTCCCAAAGCTCTTATAAGGAAATGAGGCTCACCTTCGTTCTAAACTACCTATTTATACCAGGCCTTTCTATCCTATTGAATTTAACCATAAATCATAAATAAAATCATAAGTCATAAAAACTAGGCTATATCTTCGACACTAGAATGCTTTTCAGATGACATGAGTAATGAAAGTCTCAATGAATTGAAGGAACAGGGAAAAAAAGCCATCTCGAGCCCCAGCTTGAAGGGGAAAAAAGAAAAAAAAAAGATACAATCCTTCTGCTGCATAGCATGAAACAAAAAACAATTTCGCCTTCATACTAATTGCTGTCACTATAGTTAGAAGTAGTGGCTCAATTTGAAGAGGACAGATTTAAATCTCTCCCAAAACCTGCTGAAAAACATCTGGCTTTTGAACAGCAAAGTTACTGCACAAGTGAGAACAACTACGATAGCGTTAAAACATTTGTAAATGTTTAACACACAAAGTTACCAGGAAGCTAGAAATAATTTAAATGGAATCAAAGAATAAGGGAAACGGGGAAGAAACCATCTGCCTGGTTTTCAGCTTACTGTTCCCTTGGGGCAGCAATTAGAAAGTTTCCAGCTACAAGACAAATTTACTGTAGCACCCTCGGAAATTGATTTCCCGTTGACCGCAGCATTCTCTGTTCCTAGGAGATAACATAATCTCCTTAATAGCGTTCCATGCCACGTATCACTGTTTCTAGTAAACTGTCAGATTTAGTGCCTTCCCTCACCTCACCCCACCAAAAAGGCAGTAAAAAAAGCCCTGAAAATTCAGAGCCAAACTACAAGCCTTCTATTAATAAAAGAAATTTTGAAGTATTTTACAAAATACCACATCCTATATCCCTCCACAGGAAAGCTTATTACTTACTGACATCCCTAAAAGAGCATTACTTTAACAAAAATGAAGGCAGTCACACATGCAAAACCACTTGATAATGAACTCGCATCTATGGGTAGTCCAAACAAAGGCGAGGGATTCCTCCCAACATTTGTCAAGACGCAGACGTCTTTGATTCCTATTCTTTTTGTTCACTCAGCTGTCAGATATGTTCTTCTTCAAATTTAAATAGTGTGGTTTCTCTTCATTTTTTTTTTCCTGATGTTCTCGCCTTCCACTGGTATTCTTTGTTACTTTTAAAAGGTGCGACACAGCTCACCGTGTAACATCAGCCCGCAATTTACATTTTGATAGGATGAGAATTCTGCGTAAACCCAGTATTTGCTAAGGCATCTACAAAACTAGGTAAAGTGGTTTCAGAAGATTATTTTATTATTTACAATATTGCAGGAACTCTGCTATGGAATTTATAAACACAGCAACACATGATCTGAGTGCATAACGTACTCGTGAAAAGTGTATTCAAAACATCCTCCTTTTCTTCCCATAGGTTGTCTGCACTAAATAGTATTTTTTCCTCAGTGTATTTCCCATACAAAACCAAAGTCCACATTCATCACTAGCAGTTGGTTTCAGGTATTTGACATAATTTATTTTCATATTCTTTATTGGCCTACCATTCTTTGGCAATACGTGGGTGAAAATCAGCTAGACCACGCATAGCAAGTAGACACCAAGACTGCCAGGGAGTGCACACAGGGCTGTAGTTCTGCGGGCCTCTTATTTTAAGGACAGATTTGGGGCTAGTTCAGCTAATGTCAAAAGCCTATCTTGTTACTCAGAGGGTCTGTCACAACCTAGAACCATTTTCGTGACAGAATAAATAAAATCAAGAGGATTACTGTACTTCTACACATACCACGCACAGATTAGCTTTTTAAAAGGAAACTGGTTCAAGAGCAGAGCAGCTGAACACTCATCTGAGTCATATAAGAGCAACACAGCTGATGGCAGATTTCCTTCAGTGCTCACCATCTCTTCACAGCCTTTTCCTCCAACAAGCTCCCTGTCCCAGATCCCAGATCTCTGCTGCAGCAGCACTAATGCCCAGCCAACTACTCTTGTTCTTCCAGCTTCTGCTTCCTACTTTGTGTAAAATGCTGTGAGGGCAGGCTACCTAAGGGTGTGGAACACACACTCACTCATTTCAAAATACCAGTATTTTTAAACGTTGCCATTGAGATCTGCATCCCAGGTGAAAATACAGAAAACCCTTTCTTCTTTGCAGTTTCTACGAATTATCACACCATAGAAACTCCTAAGTTTCACTTGGCAGCACAAAGGGGGTTTGTTTTATTTTAAAAAAACTCCAAAAACCAAAAAAACACAGTACAGGGGCCATGCTAACACTTCCCAGCTATCCTCTTTCCTCTCT